TCTCACATTGCTGCTGATGCATGTAGGTCACTCTTACTAGCTGATGGTGGTAGCTCACTCTCACATTACTGCTGGTGGTGGTAGCTCACTCTCACATTACTGCTGGTGGTGGTAGGTCACTCTCACATTGGTGCTGATGCATGTAGGTCACTCTTACTAGCTGATGGTGGTAGGTCACTCTCACATTACTGCTGGTGGTGGTAGGTCACTCTCACATTACTGCTGATGGTGGTAGATCACTCTCACATTACTGCTGATGCTGGTAGATCACTCTCACATTACTGCTGATGCTGGTAGGTCACTCTCACATTACTGTTGATGCTGGTAGATCACTCTCACATTACTGCTGATGCTGGTAGGTCACTCTCACATTACTGTTGATGCTGGTAGGTCACTCTCACATTACTGCTGATGGTGGTAGGTCATTCTCACATTACTGCTGATGGTGGTAGGTCACTCTCACATTACTGCTGATGCTGGTAGATCACTCTTACATTACTGCTGATGGTGGTAGGTCACTCTCACATTACTGCTGATGGTGGTAGGTCACTCTCACATTACTGCTGATGGTGGTAGGTCACTCTCACATTACTGCTGATGCTGGTAGATCACTCTTACATTACTGCTGATGGTGGTAGGTCACTCTCACATTACTGCTGATGGTGGTAGGTCACTCTCACATTACTGCTGATGCTGGTAGGTCACTCTCACATTACTGCTGATGGTGGTAGCTCACTCTCACATTACTGCTGATGCTGGTAGATCACTCTTACATTACTGCTGATGCTGGTAGGTCACTCTCACATTACTGCTGATGCTGGTAGATCACTCTTACATTACTGCTGATGCTGGTAGGTCACTCTCACATTACTGCTGATGCTGGTAGCTCACTCTCACATTACTGCTGATGCTGGTAGATCACTCTTACATTACTGTTGATGCTGGTAGGTCACTCTCACATTACTGCTGATGCTGGTAGATCACTCTTACATTACTGCTGATGCTGGTAGGTCACTCTCACATTACTGCTGATGCTGGTAGGTCACTCTCACATTAATGCTGATGCTGGTAGGACACTCACATTACTGCTGATGCTGGTAGATCACTCTCACATTACTGCTGATGCTGGTAGATTCCTCTTACATTACTGCTGATGGTGGTAGGTCACTCTCACATTACTGCTGATGCTGGTAGATCACTCTTACATTACTGCTGATGGTGGTAGGTCACTCTCACATTACTGCTGATGCTGGTAGATCACTTTCACATTACTGCTGATGCTGGTAGGTCACTCTCACATTACTGCTGAAATGGGTAGGTTACTTTCACATAACGTGTACCATGTTGACATCCACAGCTACGGTATGTGTCGTGGTGCGTGATGATGGTGGGTAGTAGTGGGATTGACGTTTCAGGGATGATTTTTTGTTTTTGAGCCCAATAAATGCTGAAACTTGTTTTCAAATTAAAATTTGTCAGAGTTTTATTCCTCGTTGTGTCTCATCTGTTTAAGACCGAGAATATTTCAAAGACTATTTTCAGAAAATACATTCATAGAAGTTTTGTTAAGGAACATAGACCCCTTAGCTGTAACATTTTTTTCGTTTACTGCTTTGTCACTTGTTTTAAGACCAAAGTTTTTTCAGGGACCAGTTTAAGACCTAAACTTGTCAGAGACCAGTTTAAGACCGAATTTTTTCAGAGATTAGTTTAAAATCGAAAGTTGTCAGTGATCCGTTTAAGACCGAAGTTTGTCAGAGACCAGTCTAGGACTGTTTTTTTCTAAGATTAGATTAAAACCAAAAATTTTCAAAGTTGTAGTCCGTGCTACATTCTTAAAGATTTCTTATTGTGGAGAAGGATTTAATTCTGCAATGAAATTATATTAACTGTTTCGAAAGACTAATATTAATATTCTAAATGAGAGAACCTGTGGCTTATGGAACTCTAATAATAAGAACATAAATAAGATACCATAATAATAAATTGATGAACTGTAATATTTAGATTAATTCAGAACTAAATCCATACACCCTACAACTTTGGTGGGTTATTCTATAATATGAGATTAATGACTTCTAATAGTAAAATAAATCATTCAAATTCTCTAATTCACTGAGATATAAATCAATTGCCTAAATATAAGGTTAACAAGTAAACAGATTAGCAGTCTTAGATGAACGTAGATCACGTCGACAACGTCAATCCATTTATTCTTGTCCAAGTCAGCAGCTCTCGAGAAACACGTGAACCCGTTGGTTGAAATTCATCTCTTTCATGGTTAATTCCACGCTGAAATGCAAATATTATGTAATTTCCCCTCCAAACCCTAGTATCATTCATTTAATCGTAAATTCTTAATGGATTTGGGATTAAAGGTGCACTTACGTGGGATTTAATGTTGCCGCACGTCATAACGACAGGGAAACAACTTATACAAGTTATAAAGGCCAGTAACAATTTGCAAAGATACTTATTCCCTGCCAAAAGTGGTGTCCATAAATAATAGAAGCTGCACAATCAGTCATGACCTTGCAGGCAGCCAGATGCTCTTAATTTGGATCGATGACAATAAGCAAACTTCAGAACACCTCAAAACTATGGCGGCTCTCGTATGTCTCTCCTCTATCCTCTCGGGTGGCACATGCGCAATAGTTCCCAAGGCTGGGATCCCGAGTATACATCATAAAATTCACTTAATGTTAGTTATGGAAGGAGATGGGGTTGACGAATATTTATGTCATAATAAAATGTATTGTGCGGCAACAAATGTTTTCTCGTAGTGCATATCAATTAATTTAGACGACGTTAAATGAACGAGAAAGATTCAGAGTGGATATTCGGCTTACCATTTTATTCACTTCAACAGCTGATCGTTGCTGTATAAATTAATTCCAGTAAACGATGATATATTTACTAACTAAAGGTTTCTATTAATAAACTATTAATAAACGATTATCCTTAATAAAATGGCAAAATAATGCTGGATTCTATTCGATCCATCAATAAGTAGAAATGATTTCGTGTGGCTAGCTTGCTGACGCAACACTGCCATGATTCTAGGGAGAATTTGGTCAATACTACGCCTCAACTAAATAATTTTAATATCACTACACCACTGGTTAGTAGTGTTAGTAAATTATTATGCATTGTGTAAGAATTATCTTAACATACTAGGTGTTAGTATTTAAGTGTTGGAAATTTTCAACACATATCTAGAAAATTCAAATATTGTCAGAGTGTAGTTTGAGTCCGAAATTTTCCAGTTAGTATAATACTGAAAATTTTCAGTTATACTTAAACCTGCGGTCTTAAAGAGTTTTTATGGATAAAAATAAACTCTACGAATTTAATTTCTTATTTTAAACTAGCTGTACCTGGCCACGTGTTGCTGTAACTCAGCAACGCGTGTGCGTTGCTGAGCCACAGCAACCTTCCCCTGGTCTTCCAGTTCTCCCCACCGTTCCCCCTCCCCGTCCCCTAGTCACTCTCCTGTCCCTTCGTCTTCCCAATCATACCCCATTCCCCCGTCCCCTCGTCCTCTCCACAATTCCCTCCCTTCCCCATCCCCATGTCCTCCCCACCATCCCCCACTCCATCTTCCCCTTATCGTTCTAACCAATCCCCACTCCACCGTCCCCTCGTACTCTCCTCCATCTCCCACTCCCCCTTCCCCGCCCCCCCCCCGGCCTCCCTATCATTCTCCTCTCCTCGTCCCTACCATCCCCAACTCATCCGTCCCCTCGTCCTTCCCACCATTACCCCCTCCCTTCTCCCGTTGTCCTCAGTACCATTCCCCACTCCCGTCCCCTCGTCCTCCCCACCATTTCCCATTCCTTCGTCTGATGCATTTCCAAATGATCTGAAGTTCCCATTAGAAAATAGGGAACATCAAATGATCTGATGTTCCCATCACTGAAATATAAGAAAAACAATTAAAAAACGAAATGAAAAAATGAAGAAATAAAAAAATATATACCCACAAAATGAACGGTATAGTAAACAACAAAACTCAATTCCAACGCAGTGTCACAAAAACATTAAATCAAAATGAAAATAATTCGAAATCTATGAAAATTCAATTTTTCAATGAAATTGAAAACATTGAAATCTAATCGTTACATATTTAGTATAGCGTGAGTTGTTCTTACGTGCAACAAATGGCTCTGTTTCTCAATAATGCATGTTTTTACTGTCACAGGTGTGTGGCATCTATACTTATACTCACGAAATGAACGGTATGGTAAACAACACAGCTAAACTCCAATGCAATATCCCACAAAATAATTAAATCAAATTGAAAATAAATCGAAATATACGAAAATTTAATTTGTTAATGCAGTCAGAAACATTGAAGTGGAAATCATAACATATTTAGTATAACGTGTGTGTGTTGCTATTACGTTCAACAGATGGCACAGTTTTTTCGTTAAATTTTGTTTTTACATGTTAGAGGTGGGGCATTTATATAGTAGACATATAAAAACACGCACATATTCGAATGGAACGTTGTGTCAGATTTTCAAAACAATCAGTGAAGATCTTTGAGAGATAACAGCGTGTGTTGCTCTT